GTTCGTCCTTGGTTGGTCCTCGGCTGTCCCTTGTCTGGTCCTTGTCTGGTCCTTGGTTGGTCCTTGGCTGTCCCTTGTCTGGTCCTTGGTTGGTCCTCGGCTGTCCCTTGTCTGGTCCTTGGTTGGTCCTTGGCTGGTCCTTGGCTGGTCCTCGGTTGGTGCTTGGTTGGTGCTTGGCTGGTCCTTGGCTGGTCCCCTATATTTCTTTTTGTTAAACATCAATCTTTGTACTAAAATATTATTTCTGGCATAAAATGTAATTCAGTGGAAAGGTGGAGTTTGGAGTAAAGTAGGAGGGGGTTCACTCCAGTGGCTGGAAGTTGGAGGGGATTTTGCTGCCATTTGGCTGGCGTTTGACTGGGATGAGCCATTTTAAATAGCTGCTTCTGTACATGCATCCGTCTGTCAATCTGGGTCTCGGTTCTTTGGCTAACGAGTCAGACTATGACCTGGAGAACAGGTTCTGCAGATGAACACTAAAACGTAGAAAGTTCTCCCTGCATGTTTGCCTTCAGCTGACTGCAGTAGGGGGTCTGAGTATTTGTTGTCCTTTCCCTGGTGGGTCTGCATTCCCCTCAGTCCACCCTGCTGTTGCCAGCAGCCCAGCGGCTCTATATTTAGCCCTGGATCTCTGCCTGCTGCCATTGTCCTGCTGATGGAATAACAGCAGTCAGCCAGCTGCCCAGGAGGAGCTTTTCAAGCCTTCAAGGTTGTTTTGCTCAAAGATTTTCTGACACTTTGATCAAATCTGTCCTTGTTTAGGGGTTTTAAAGATGGCGCTCCTTCTCCAGATGGTGCAAACGGATGGAAAGTCTCATAGAGAAAAACTGACTTTATCGTGACTGTAATGAGTGTTAGGATTAAATGATAATAACCCCTTATTGTCCTAGAAATAACAAACACACAAGTTAGTTTTCTGCAGAAGAGCAGAGAAGACACAAAGGGAGAATCTTCATTTTTCCCTAAAGGAGTAACAGGAGGGGTCAGAAGTTTACACGTGATAAAGCATGACACTTCCTTGTGCGATTTTATATCAGGTGATGGTCAGTCACCTGTAGCAGCATTGCTGTATAATGCTACGTTCAGACCGAATGCAGCAGAAGCAGCAAAAACACGAGTGCTGCTTCATTTTTGCTACTTGCACCAGTTTAGTTCTGACGCGCGGCTGAAGCTCCAGCTGTGCGGTCGAAAGTGGGTCTGATGGACTTTGGGCGGAGCTACTCTATCCATTCTTAGCCTGGAACAATGGCAGCTATATCTGCTGTGATCCGTGGGTGAAAAGTAGTTTGAATCTATGTTGAAGTGAGAAAGTTAACCAGGCCCCGTACACCGGTGGTGAAGCTGTCACTATGAATTCCATCCAATAGGAGCCTCTGGTCCGGTCGCCTCATTGTGGTTTTCAGCTAGTGCAAACTGCAGGCACCAGGATAATAAAAGCCAACATATTCTGCCGGCAGGTTTCT